TTTGATACCGAAAGATGACAAAGAAATTTTGGAACTTAAAGATTATAGACCTATTTCCTTGTTGAATGTGGATTATAAAATTTTTGCAAAAATTTTGGCTAATAGACTGATGCAGATACTGCAACATTATATACATGATGATCAAACTGGTTTCATATCTGGGAGATACATGAAGAATAATATCAGGCAAATTGTAAATTTACTGGAATATTTGGACAAGAATAATCAAATACCTTCGGCCTTTATCTTTCTTGATGCGGAGAAGGCCTTCGACAAACTGGAATGGCAGTTTTTAAATAAATTGCTGGATTATATGGACTTTGGAGATCAATTTAAAACAGCTATAAAGGCGATATATCAAAAACAGACTGCTCAGATAATTATAAATGGAGACTTGACAGAGCCTATAGAGATACAAAAGGGTACTAGACAAGGCTGTCCACTCTCCCCTTTATTATTTGTATTGTCATTAGAAATTCTACTATCCAGAATTAGAGATTCTACAATGATTAAAGGTCTAAGAATTTCTTCTAAAGAATATAAACTTAAAGCCTTTGCGGATGACTTGGTTTTTACATTGTCTCAACCAACTGAGTCACTGGAAATTTTGTTGCAAGTGCTGCATCAATATGGCAAGGTGGCTGGATTTAGAATTAATGTTCAAAAGACTAAAATTCTTACAAAGAATATGACTGTTAAAGACAAAAAACAACTTATGCAACTATCAGGTTTTGAAGTGGTTAGTGAAGTTAAGTACTTGGGAATTTTTTTATCCTCCTCTAACATGAAACTTTATCAGAATAATTACGAGAAATTGTGGAAATCAGTACAAAAAGACTTATCAATGTGGAAAAAACTTCATTTTTCCTTGCTGGGTCGTATTGCGGCCATTAAAATGAATATTTTACCTAAGTTTCTTTTCCTGTTCCAGATGATACCTATTTTAAAAAATGAACTTAACTTGAAAGAATGGCAGAGAGACTTGAATCGTTTTATTTGGGAAGGCAAGAAAGCACGTGTTAAATTCAAGATTATTCAAGATGTTAGAGAACGTGGAGGACTTAAAGCTCCAAATTTGATACTTNTAAAGTTTTACCTACAATGGAGGACTGGAGATTGAAGGTTTCGCATCTTGCTGAAATGGCAAAAATTTCGGCTTATCTGAAGGATCACTCAAATGAACAATTTTTATCAATATGGAGAAGATGGATTGTTTATATTCAAAATAAGCATAGAATGGTGGAATATAATTTAGGTTTTTAGATAAAAACTTTTTTTTTTTTAATATATATATACTTCACCTACTTATGTAGAATAATACTTTGTGGAGTTAGGGATATTAATACTAGTTTACTTTTAGTTGAATAGTATCCTGGGATTAGGTTTGGGAAGTCCGGGTGGGGGGTGGGGGGTAGGGGTTTTTACACTGTGATATATTTGTGATGTGCTTTTTTTTATGATGAAAATAATAAAAATTTATATTTGAAAAAAAAAAAAAAAGAGTCAGAGTTAAGCAGGCTGAAGCCTCCTCAAGCACCCAACTGGCCAAGGAGACGGCACAAAAGGGATGTCTATGGTTCACAGTAGTGTACATGAGCTTGACCTTTTGGATGCCCTTTGGATGCCCTTGGGAACCCTGATAGTCAGCGCTTCAGGGCAAGTTCATTTCAATCTTGGTGAATTGACTTCCACTAATAATCAGCCTCTCCCTGTATCTGATGTGGGAGGCCTTCCCTTCCCCAGCTGCATCATTTATTCCAGCTAGGAACAAGAGTTTGAGTTCTGGACCAATAAAGAGGCAAGATCAGGAAATACGATTCTGCTTGGCCTCAGTTCAAAAAGTGTTTAAAAGTGTTTAAAATCACACCAGAATTGAAGACAGAAATTCTAGGTCCTTCCTTCCTTCCTCCCTCCCTCCCTCCCTGAGCTTTTCTTTTTTAATTCCATTCTGGTTTTTTTCATACGTGGTCTAATAGAATCATTTCTTTTTTTCTTTCTCTAATATAAATAATACATACACATATGAAAAATAGAGTATATACCTATTCTAAGCTACATTTCTTAATTGTACAATAATGATATAGGTACATTATTACACTGCTGCTTAATTTTTACATTATAGATATTTTTTAAAGCAGGGGCCCCCACCAGGGACCGGTTCCGCGGAGAGAGGTTTTCTGCAGATGGGAGGGGGCCTGGTTTCACATGCTGAAACATGGGGCTTTGCTTGTTTGCGCAGACCGGTTTCGGGCATGCTGGTCCACGGACCAGAGGATGGGGACCCCTGTTTTAAAGGATGTATTATAAGTAGTTTTCGACTTACAACCACAATTGGGCCCAAAATTTCTGTTGCTAAGCAAGACAGTTGCTAAGTGAGTTTTGCCTCATTTTATGACCTTTCTTGCCACAGTTGTTAAGTGAATCACTGCACTTGTAAAGTTAGTAACTCGGTTGTTAAATGAATCTGTTTTCCCCATTGACTTTGCTCGTCAGAAGGTCACAAAAGGGGATCACGTGACCTGCCGGGACGCTGCGACCGTCGTAAATAGGAGCCGTTTGCCAAGCGTCCGAACTTTGATCACGTGACCACGGGGAGGCTGCAATGGTCGTAAGTGTGAAAAACAGTCGCAAGTTGCTTTTCTCAGTGCTGTTGTAACTTTGAAAGGTCACCAAAAGAAGGGTTGTATGTCGAGGCTTATCTGTATCAGGAGGTTTTTGAAAAATTGAAACAAATATAATAGAGATTTTTAAAATAGTTCCCAGAAGAGAATCTAGAGGGGCCCTTACCTGGTGGCGGTCCAGAGCAATGGCAGCAAAGGTCAGTGCGGACATGTGGACGGAGCAATACTGGACAAAGCGACTTATATGGCACATCGGTTTTCCAAAAGGCCAGGTGCTGCTGACAAATCGCACCTAGAAGAGAAAGTTAGGCTGGGCCTAGAATCAGGCCTAATGCAGGCTCAGCTCAGGCTTATTCCATGTCTCTCCTCCAACAGAAGCCAGGCAGCGGACACATCTTCCCTTGATGTTACAGCAGCCTTCCCCAAACTTTCCGGCTTTGCGGACCGGCGGGGTGGGGGGAGGAGAGGTGACGCTAGGCTGGGAGAGAGCAGCTGAACTTCTAAAATCAACTGCTCGCTGAATTAACTAGACTCAGCTAAAATGGGTAGCTTGTAATATTGACTGACGTTGACTGATCACAGGTGACGTGGCTCAGACCTTAGTGAAGAATGCACTGCCTGTGAGCAAAGCAAGTTGTTTTGTGCAACTGGGTGTTGGGTGTGAACCCAACCACCCAGACTTCATAGGCTGTTGTTACAGCTATTCAAGTGACAAACTCAAACGTCTAGAACAGGGGTGTCAAACTCGCAACATCACGTGATGTGTCACGAAATATCACAACTTTTTTTCCATTGCTGGCAACGGGGTGGGTGCGATTTCGCCATGACTTTGACACCCTGGTCTAGAAGGAAAGGTTCATGACGTGTTTTGGATGCCATGTCAACTTGCAGTGCTCAGATGGGTCCAGGCAAAGGTCACCAACCTTACACAAGTCGCCATGAAAGCCCTCCCAGGAAGGAGCAAGACGGCATCCCAAGGTGCTGGGGAGTTTTTGATTGGGGGGGGAGTGGAAGGAGAATTCCATGGGTGGGGGATGTTTCTGGAATGGCTTCAACATGGCACAATGTCTGCAAAGAACGTGCCTGGATCAGCCTTACACAGCCTAATGATTTCCAAGTGTATAGGACAGTGATGGCGAACCTTTTAGAGACCAAGTGCCCAAACTGCAACCCAAAACCCACTTATGTATCGTCGGGTGCTGGGTGGGCGTGGCCAATTGGATGGGCGTGGCCCATTGGATGGGCGTGGCCCGTTGGGTGGGTGTGGCTGCGGTGGTAACGGCAGACTGGGTGGAACTAAAAAGTTCAATCAATTTCAACTTTGCGAGATTTTTTTTTCCCGTGAGAAGTTGAAATTGATTGATTGATTGAACCTTTTTTTTTTGCACACGGCGGCGGAGGCCTAAAGCGAAAAGGTTTTATAAAACCCAGCTGAAGGCCTAGGACTGGGGTGACAGCGCGAGTGCCCACAGAGAGGGCTCTGCGTGCCACTTGTGGCACGCGTACCATAGGTTCACCACCACGGACTTAAGGCTAGGGTTACGTCACCATGAACTCAGAGAGCAAAATGGACATTGCCAACAAATTCGGAGTGCTTGGGTATGGTTAGGAGGGCACTGACTTTTCTAGCCTGCCCTGTCTGTCTTTCATGATAAAATACATGGGAAAATCCCATTGAAGGAAAATTCCACTTAGGGTTAGGTCACCATGAACTCATAGAGCAAAACAGACATCATCAACAAATTCAGAGTGCTGGGTATGGTTAGGAGGGCACTGACTTTTCTGGGCTGCCCTATTTATGTTTCCTGGTAAAATACATGGGAAAATCCCATTGGAGGAATATTCCACTTAGGGTTAGGGTTAGGTCACCATGAATTCGGTGAGCAAAATGGACATCGCCAACAAATTCGGAGTGCTTGGATATGGTTACATAGATTTGCAAAACAATGGCATAAAATAATATTTCTGAACTTTGTTTTATGATTTATCTCATGGTTACTGTGAAATTCTGTGAATGCATCAATGCAGTGCATGTTATCTCAGCTTACAAAGCTTGGATTCATTGAATGAGTTTACCAAAAATGTAAATATTGCAGAATATACAGCCTCATGCTATATAACTGAGCTCCATTTCATGCTGAATAAACTAAATTATTAATGTATCTTAAATAGAAAAGTATATTTAGATAGATTTTTACTCCAAAAGCATTTTATTAAAATAAATTTGATCAAAATAAAAATAGATCTGATTTAAATTTAAAAAATCATCATTATCCACCCTGTGTATGTGTGTACGCAGTTGCGCTTGGGTGAGCAGCAGGTGAGCACACATGTATGCGCAGCTCCATTTGTGCGAGCGGCAGGCGGCGAGCAGCTGATGCACGTGCCTGCCGCTCGGGCAAATGGAACTACCTGCTGCTTGCGTGGAATCGTCCCCTCTCCTCCCCCCACCCCCCACCTGGTCCACAAAGCCAGAAAGGCTGGGGAAGGTTGCTGTAACATCAGGGGAAGGTGTGTCCGCTGCCTGGCTTCTGTTGGAGGAGAGAGGTCTCAAGGCTGCATCTTTTCAGATCTCACATCTCCTGTTCTACGAAGACATTTGGCAAAGGAAACACCTTTTCAGAGGGGATATGCTTTCCCAATCTTTCAATCCAGTGCCTTGGGCAAAAAGGAAGGAAGGACCCCAAATCCATTGGAGACTTTTCCCTGGGGAACCCTGAGCCCCAGCAACAGGCCCAATCGACCGGTCTTACAGTGGAGGAGTCTGCACTGGGGCCCCTCTCTAAGAAGGCAATTGTGGGACCAGGGTTGCTTACCAGGGTGAAGGGCGTGTTCAGGAGGGTGATCATGATATCAACTGTAGCCAAGCTGACAATGAAAAGGCTTGTGGCTGAGTGCATCCTCTTGTTCTTGACCACCACATGGCACACCACTACATTGCCAAGAAGCGAGATGCAAATAATGACCAAATAAGCCACAATCAGGAGACCTTTTATCATCTGGCTCTGCGATTCCTCTTTGTAACCTGTGTCGCTCTCGAAATCTCCTGTGTGGTTTACATCCAGGTCCTCGTGGAAGGAGGATCGATTGTGGAGTGGAAAGAGGGTGGAGTTGGTACTGTTGGGTCTCCCCACCCAACGGAATGATTTGGAGACATGTGGAGAAGGTAACCACATGTGCCTGTTCATAGCTGGGAGAAGAAAAAGCAACAGAAAAGTTTTCTTCTCTCCAGAATCAAGGGGACCTGGAGGGATGTCCCCCTTCTTTCAACTTCTCTCCTTTTAGCGCCCGCCCTGGACTGAACGTTCCTCCAGATTTTTCAGATCCAGCCTGAAATGGAGATTGTTTCCTTCCTCTGAAGTTCCTAGAGTTACTGTCTGTTTTTTATTTCCACTCGATTTGTCTGCTTCCTCTCTCCCCAGAGGTCTTCAAAAGTGTGGAGTTTGCTTTCAGTTCCTCCAGGCTGGTTAGTTTACCCAGCAATCAAAGCCACGAACGAAGGAGGAGAGGCTAGGAGGCAAGCGAGTCCTTCTCCGCGGAAGCCAGGCTGCGCTGGACGATGGACAGCCGCTCTGCCTTGGGTGTAATTTGCAGGCTGTGCCGATGTTTATGCTGAGCAACAGGAGCTGAGTAGGATTCTTTGCCACTTCTTTCCAATCCCAGATACGGCGGGGGGGGGGGAGGTGCGGAGGGGGGGGGAGAGAGAGAGAGATGTTAGTTGCAAGGAAACGGTTCCAGAGCCATTGCTGGGAGCTGCTTATCCATCCATCTGGCAAACCAACCTCCTTCAGGGGCTGGCTCCCCCCTCCTCTCTTTCCAGCATTTGCACGCAAGCCCCCGTGAGGAATTGTTTGTGGTCTTTGTCCACAGCTTCCAGCAAGTCACACCAGCATCAATAAAGTGCTCAGAGACAGGTGGGGGCAGCAGAAATGCCCCAGGGGGAATGCTGGAACAAAGGGGGAAGTGGGGGGGCTGCTGCTTCTAACCATTTTGTGGGCAGAGAACTTGCAGGTCACCTTGTGGTCCACAGGGGGGGCTCCCCTCCTTTTCTACGAAGAATTTGGGAATCAGGAAGAACTTAATCCAAGACCACACTATAAATCCCATCAGTCTACAACTGGGTCATAGCTTTGATCCAGCTTTTTCAAAAGCACAATCTACCCCCCCCCCAGGCCAAGAACTGGCTTCAACTAAGTGCCTTTGCTTAAATCTCTGAGCATCCCCCCCCAAAAAAATCTGCCAAACTGTACCCTCCAGAAAAGGCAGCAGCAGTTAAGGAGGCATGTGATCCCCAGCCTGCTGGTTTTATTTACTATGAACTATTGCTTCATGAGACGAGCACTGGATGAATCCCTGGAAAGGACCATGCGCGTGTTCCAAGATGCTGGAAGTGTTTACAGTACCTTTTTTCAACCAGGGCAACATGAAGATGGGTGGACTTCAACTCCCAGAATTCCCCAGCCAGGTAAGCACTGCTTTACAGAGACAGGAAGGTTCTTTTGCCTTGTCTTGAGTCACTCAAGAGTCATTCTAGTGAAAGTGCTGCTCTCTCAAATTACCTGTTGAACTACAATGTGAGGTGGGAGCCTAACATCCAGAAAATCAACCCAGAGGCCCAAGGAAGCTGTGTGCATTTACACAGGCACAAGTGCACAGGGAGGGAGGGAGGGAGGGAGGGAGGGAGACAGAGACAGAAAGAGAGAGAGACAGTGTGTGTGTGTGTGTGTGTGTGTGTGTTCTGGAGGTTGTGGGATGAGAGGACTCTTCAGGCAGCTGCTTTCACGTGCTTCCCTCCTGGCCTAGATTTGGCCAGAATGTCTGGTGACATAAATTGCAACCATGGCGTCCTAGAGATCTTAATTCAGCAGCTGGAGAATTCTCCCCCATCCTTTCTTTTCACACTCAGTGTCAGCAGCAGTGAGAAGATAAACCCAGCACCAGTTAGTCCCTGAGCCCATAGCAGGGCAGGGTTGAGAGTTTCTGCCAATTTATGCTTGCTTTTCAGTTCAGATCATTCAAACAGCTCAACTTTAGAAATGTCAGACTCTTTGAGAGTGATCATCCTATGGGGGAGAACCAAAAACACGAGTACACGTACAGACCTGGGAAAAAAAAACACTTGTGCTTGTCTGAAAAGTACAACCTAGTAGCCTTTAATGGGAGAACTGGCTGAATTCCCAGCAGGATCTGCTCCTGGTGACCCCTAGAATGAGGAAAAGAAGGATTCCCCCCTCCCATCTTAGCCCTGCTCTTCCCAGTTTGAATGTTCTTGGTCATACTGGATTTGATGCTCTCTTCCTGTAACTTAGCCCCCTGGGGGTCTGCGGGCTTTGGCCCCGTGTATATACGGGTGTCTATATGCTGCTATGACCCATGTACAAAGGGGTGGGGACTTGCATCTTGGCAGCATGACACTTCTTTATTGCTGCACTGCCTATTTACAAGAATTGTGCCAGATTGACTGCATTCTCTTGGGAAGGGTCAGGTGAGGCTTCAGGGTCTCGGGGGGGGGGGTCCGGCCTGTGCCACTTTCTGCTATGCAAGGTGTCAAGACTGACTCGCACTTCGCTCGCAGCTTGAAAAGAAAAGGGAGGGGTGGAATGCAAGGGTGGGGGGGATGGCATCCAAGCATCGTCGGTTCCCGTGAGACATTGCTCCCACCTCAAGGACACCCTGAGTAGATGACCCAGCGTGGTCGGCTGGTTCCCATAACAAAATGAACAGAAGTGGTTGGTGGACGTAATGGGCTGTGGGTGGCCCATGGGGAAAGGGGGAATGAACAGTGCTAGCTTTTGCATGGGAAGCCCAGAGCTGGTTTCGCTTCTTCTGTGCCAATGTGTTTTATTCAGTAAAGTTTTATACTCTTGGTAAAATAATGTCCCAGGAGTTTCTTTTTCTGGATTCACCAACTGGACAGTTGACACAAGGACTCTAAGCTCGGCCCCCTCTTGAAATCTCCCCCCCCAAACACACTAGCTGGAGATTCCACCACACTTTCCCTAGCATTCCACCCTGATCTGCCTTCCTGTAGTAGAAGAGCATTATTCTGTATTCTGAATTATGACAGATTAGGGAACTGAACTCAACCTTCTCCTGTATGATACACCTTTTAGCCGTTCAGGTCTATGATATTCCTACCTGAGCAGGGGGTTGGACTAGAATAGGGCTTTTCAACCGGTGGTACGTGTACCACTGGTGGTACATTGGCACCTGGCAGGTGGTACACAACGCTGCCTAGCGAAGTGTAGTGGGGGAAGGGAACGAGCTAAAGCAGCGCAACGCAGGACTTGCCATGAGAGAGTCCTTGGGAGCTGCTGGGCTGCTGGGGCGAGACAAAGCCCCCAGGATCGGCACTTACGGCACACTCAGAAGACAAAGGAGGAGGGGGGCAGAGACAGGAGAGGGTATAAAAGGAAACAGTTTTGGTGGGAGAGGGAAAGAGAAAAAAGATGCAGCCTTCGAAGGAGGAGTCAGCTGGAGTTGCACCAAAGAGAAAAGAAGGAGGAGGGGGGGAAGAGAGGAGAGGAGATAAAACAGGCAGGCTGGGAGTCGATCTACAACTTTGTGACAGCCATCCGTGCCGAGTGCGCACACAGGTGGCAGCGAAAAACAGGCACTAAACGCAGCTGGGGAGGGGTTGCCCTGCACGAGGAATGAAGAAAGGTACCATCGGCTGGAGGTGACCAACAATTGGCCCTCACTCGCTTCACACATCTGGCTGTGTGGGCTCCAGGAGAGGGGATGCCATGAGCGGCATGAAAGTCCACATTACCTGCACAATGCCACCCAGCCCCCAGCCTGCCCAGTTTCAGCAGGCAGTAGCGCACCCTCCTCACAGCGCAGAGAGGCTGGGCCAGGCGAAGCTGGCGAGAAGCTGAAGTTGCCTGGGCGCGCACACAGGAGGCAGCAAGTGGATGGGGCTTGGTGTCCTGGGTGACCATCCTGCCTCCGCAGGCTGACTGCATTCTGAGTGCTTCCCTTTCACCTGGGACACCAGGCCCCACGGGGTCGCTGCCTCCTGTGCGTGCAGCCAGGCAGGTTTGGCTTATCGCCAGCTTCGCCTCTCCCAGCCTCAGGGACGCTGCCTTTCCTCATTCCTCAGGGAGGGTGACACCTCCCCAGCTGCATTTCTTGCCTGTTTTTCTCCCTCATCACAAAAATCTTCCCGCCACCCTGCTCTTAAGGCTGTGCGGCTCTTGTCCAGGAATTTACAGTGGCCTTTCAAGCCATGCCCACTGGCGGCACGGCCATTGGCCATGCGGGCAACCTCTCCCTCTCCCCTTGTCCCTTCTTGGGCACGAAGGGAGGGAGAAAGGGAGGGAGAGAGGAAGGAAGGAAGGAAGGAAGGAAGGAGATGGGAGTGAGAAAGAGGGAGGCAGGGAAGGAGGGAGGGAGGGAAACAGGAAGGAAGGAAGGAAGGACATTGGAATAAGAGGGAGGGAGGGTCTGAGGAAAGTCCTGCCTTAGCACTTGGCCACCAGCAGCACTGCTGCCCTTTCGCCATCCCCTTGTCCCCTCCTCTTGGCCTAATCTGATGGTCTCCCATTCTATCGCTAAGGATGCCTTGGTTACAAAGCCAGGTCTCCTCACATGGAGAGGGAATGGACCTCCCTCTGACCCACACACTTTGCCCTCTTGCACCCACCATGAGCTACCTGGCCAATGAGAGTGGGCACAGCAGCAGCAGCCTCAAGGAGGAGGTAAGCGCAGCCGGGCACCTCCTCGGGGAAGGGCTGGACTGGGTTGGGCTGAGGGGTCCCGGTGCCCTGGGAGCTTGAGGACCAGGCTGGGCACTTGCCCTCCACTCCCCAGGGCTCTGGGCAGCCCACACCAATGTCCAGGAGTCCCCCCAGGCAGCCCAAGAGGGACTGCAAGGCTCCACCGATGGACCATTGATTTTGCTTGTCCAAAGGTCGCAAAGATCACATGATCCTGGGACACTGTGTCTATCATAAATATTGTTAAGTCCGGAGAATAATGGCGAAAGAGGCAATGCATGTTGCTAAATAGATCTTTATTCTCTCCCTCTTACAGCTAACAACCAACAAGAGCAGAGGCACGCAGGCGTCTATTTATACCCCCGGATCCCCGGGCAATCCCAACCAATAGCAGGCAGTCTTTTCCCGCCTTGCGCATGTGCGCAAGGCCGGCGCCGCTCAGTCTGGTCCCGGGCAGCTTTTGCAATGCC